CTATATAAAGGCGGGTCAGCACGTAAATTTCTCTTGGCACGTAGTGCATATTGGGGATTCTGTGGCCCTCTATGTTAGGTGATGTTGGTGTGGCTATATGAAGGCAGGTCAGCACGTAAATTTCTCTTGGCATGTAGTGCATATTGGGGATTCTGTGCCCTCTAGTAAATAATGGTAGGTGATGTAGGTGTGGGCTATATGAAGGCGGGTCAGCACGTCAATTCTCTTGGCATGTAGTGCATATTGGGGATTCTGTGCCCTCTAGTAAATAATGGTAGGTGATGTAGGCATGGCCTATATGAAGGCGGGTCAGCACGTAAATTTCTCTTGGCATGTAGTGCATATTGGAGATTCTGTGCCCTCTAGTAAATAATGGTAGGTGATGTAGGTGTGGGCTATATGAAGGCGGGGTTAGCACGTCAATTTCTCTTGGCATGTAGTGCATATTGTGGATTCTGTGCCCTCTAGTAAATAATGGTTGGTGATGTAGGTGTGGGCTATATGAAGGCGGGTCAGCACGTAAATTTCTCTTGGCATGTAGTGCATATTGGGGATTCTGTGCCCTCTAGTAAATAATGGTATGTGATGTAGGTGTGGGCTATATGAAGGCGGGTCAGCACGTAAATTTCTCTTGGCATGTATTGCATATTGGTGATTCTGTGCCTCTAGTAAATAATGGTAGGTGATGTAGGTGTGGGCTATATGAGGGCGGGTCAGCACGTAAATTTCTCTTGGCATGTAGTGCCTATTGGGGATTCTGTGCCCTCTATGTTAGGTGGTGTAGGTGTGGGCTATATGAAGGCGGGTCAGCACGTAAATTTCTCCTGGCATTTAGTGCATATTGGGGATTCTGTGCCCTCTAGTAAATAATGGTAGGTAATGTACGTGTGGGCTATATGAAAGCGGGTCAGCACGTAAATTTCTCTTGGCATGTAGTGCATATTGCGGATTCTGTGGCCTCTATGTTAGGTGATGTAGGTGTGGGCTATATGAAGGCGGGTCAGCACGTAAATTTCTCTTGGCAAGTAGTGCATATTGGCGATTCTGTGCCCTATAGTTAATAATGGTAGGTGATGTATGCGTGGGCTATATGAAGGCGGATGAGCACATAAATTTCTCTTGGCATGTAGTGCATATTGGGGATTCTGTGCCCTCTAGTAAATAATGGTAGGTGATATAGGTGTGGGCTATATGAGGGCGGGTCAGCACGTCAATTTCTCTTGGCATGTAGTGCATATTGGGGATTCTGTGCCCTCTAGTAAATAATGGTAGGTGATGTAGGTGTGTGCTATATGAAGGCGGGTCAGCACGTCAATTTCTCTTGGCATATAGTGCATATTGTGGATTCTGTGCCCTCTAGTAAATAATGGTAGGTGATGTAGTTGTGGGCTATATGAAGGCGGGTCAGCACGTCAATTTCTCTTGGCATGTAGTGCATATTGGGGATTCTGTGCCCTCTAGTAAATAATGGTAGGTGGTGTAGGTGTGGGCTATATGAAGGCGGGTCAGCACGTAAATTTCTCTTGGCGTGTAGTGCATATTGGGGATTCTGTGCCCTCTAGTAAATAATGGTAGGTGATGTAGGTGTGGGCTATGAAGGCGGGTCAGCACGTCAATTTCTCTTGGCATGTAGTGCATATTGGGGATTCTGTGCCCTCTAGTAAATAATGGTAGGTGATGTAGGTGTGGGCTATATGAAGGCGGGTCAGCACGTAAATTTCTCTTGGCGTGTAGTGCATATTGGGGATTCTGTGCCCTCTAGTAAATAATAGTAGGTGATGTAGGTGTGGGCTATATGAAGGCGGGTCAGCACGTCAATTTCTCCTGGCATGTAGTGCATATTGGGGATTCTGTGCCCTCTAGTAAATAATGGTAGGTGATGTAGGTGTGGGCTATATGAAGGCGGGTCAGCACGTAAATTTCTCTTGGCGTGTAGTGCATATTGGGGATTCTGTGCCCTCTAGTAAATAATGGTAGGTGATGTAGGTTGTGGCTTATATGAACGACCTGTTCTCTTCTATTTTTGTATTCTGAGTTCCATTCTCCAATTTTTTTTCAAAGAATGTATAGCTCTTTGTATTACTGCTATTTTTTAAGTGTTGCTGATAATAATTTTTCCTTCAAAATTTATTGCTGGTAATAAATAAGTTAATTCTTTAATGAGCATTAACTTACTTTTAAAATTGGAATGTGTAATGTCATCCGTGATGAAAGAAAAAAGATATCTCATGACTCGTTAATTGAAAAATTATTTTCTTTAATTTAAATGAATAGACATGAAATTAGAAAGAAAATCATTTCTTTGGTGAGATAATCATTTCAGAAAAAAATTCTTCACTTTTGTTAAATATTACGTCTCCACCATAACAATGTTGAATACTGAGAAAAACTTTACACGCTTCGTAAACTTTAAGAATAGGTAAACTATATTTCTATCGACTCTTCAAATATATTAGATTAAAAAAACAAAATAACAAGAATTAAATTTTTTAAAAAGAAATAAAAAGGTTAGTATATAAGAGTAAATATTAATAATCTGAATAGACAGCAGAAACAAATGTTTCAATTAAAGATCATTTTCCGATAAAATTACGGATAAACAATGATCCTGGATTTTTCCTGCAGATTTTGGACATTTCTTTATTTACTAAATTTTATTATGTAGCCTGTGATATACCGGATATTATTTATTAGATAAATTCCTCAAAACTTTCATTCACTCTTATCATTACATACAAAACTATATCTGGGACGATTCTAATCACGACAGCCAAATGTAACATTATGGAAGAAGAACGGGTGGATGGACTCGTATTCTAGTCGCTAAATGTTGCACTACAAACTGTGTATCTTTCGGTGGTAACTTTAGAGTCAAGAATCTTTGGTCATAGTATCAGATGTAACACTAGGACTGGGACGATCCTGATCATGTCAACTGAAGTTGTTTTGGCGTCTTATCCTCCTTTAAGCAAAGCGTAATTTATTTTCGCTGTTGGATACATCCTAACATTTTTTCCAATTTTAATGTCTAGCAACAATACACAATGGCCTTTGAATCGCTCTTCCACAATTACGTTATATGTGTGTTTGCTCATTTCTCCACTTTTTAAAGACTGGAATAATAATCTGATGACCTTGTTCAAATTCTGACTGCTATTACGATTTTCTCTTACCGTGTTTAGCTTGCATTTAGCGTGTGACAATCTTAACCAATTCCCCAGCGTCTCTTCTCTCCGGTGACAACCGCTAAATATGAAATACAATCTGCCGCTTTAAGTGAGATTTCTTCTTTTTCTTGTTGAAAAATCTCTGTAATTGTTCGGCCCCCAAAATCATGCAAACAACTTAATCTCAAGGATTTTTAGAGATACTTTTTTTTATTTTGACCGAAATTTATTTCATCATTTTCACTTGGCGAGTTTTTCGATTGGGTAGAGTACCATACCAAAGCATATTACGTTATTTACAAATTAATATTCGGGTTAGATTCCTTAACAACTCTACAATCCATTTAATTTCTGAAGACTAATTCTTTCTTCTTTTATGGGCCGTGTCCCTTCAGGACGTAGGCGATCATGGCCCTCCACACTCTCCTGTCCCATATAGCTCTTAATAAGTTTTGTCTTTTTACTATTTCTTCCGGAAATCCATCCATTTACTGAAAACTATTAAGTATGTCACACGTTGCGTTCCCCTGAACCTCTTTACCCTCTATCCTTCTTGTGAGTATCAGATTTTCCAGGCCCTCCTTCCTCATTACGTGTCCCAGAAATTTCAGCTGCTTCTTCTTGATGTTAAGTATAAGTTTCCTCTTTGTTTCCATTCTCTCCAAAACATCGTCGTTGCTCACATGTTCGAACCATATTATCCTCAGCATCCTTCTGTAGAACCACATTTCTATTGCTTCGAGTTTCTTCTTTATCGTTGAGGAGATTGTTTCTTTTCTTCGTTATCAATGAAACCCTCCTGTCTTGTAATATACTGCTTAGTTTTTGGAATGCATCTTTAGTCATCCCAATACGTCTTCGGATTTCAGTGTCGCACTTTCTGTCCTCTGTTAGAACACTTACCAGATATTTCAATTTCCACACCTGCTTGATTTTAGTGTTCCCGACCTGTAAATCGCATTTCGGGCTCAACTTTTTACTAATGACCATGCATTCTGTCCTCTCGCAGTTTATGCTTAGTCCTTTCTTCTTGCTCTCCTTCGCTACCTTCTGTAGGAGGTTGTGTAGTATCCTTTCCGTGTCTGCTATCATCACTGTGTCATCTGCGTATCTTATGTTGTTAAGATTGTGGCCGCCAATGATGATTCCTGGTAGGATTTCTTGTTCTCTCAGAATTGCTGTATAGATTTAAGTCCGGTGAGAAGACACTCTTTTCTATTTTTGTATATCTGCTGAACTCATTTTTTAATCTTTATGCTGGCGGTTTGCTGCCAATAGTGGATTTTGATTATTCTAATGTCTTTCCTCAATATGTCAAGGTTGCTGAGCAAAACTTTGTGACATACTTTGTCCAATGCCTTTAATCTATAAATCACATGTAAACGTACTTCTGCATTTGTATTGCTCTTTTTGATAGCATTCTGAGCATGAATATCACATTTCTTGTTCCAGTGTCTTTAACGAACCCACGCTGTTCTTGTCCTATCTCTGGACTAATTCTGAAGCGCGCTCTATTCATGTTATGAATTATTATAAACGAATGTATAAAAACAACAGACTCTATGGAGAAACCATTTTATTATCTTGGATTGAAATCAATTCTTTTAACTATTTTTGCCTTTATACGCAAATTTAAAACGACAGGGAGGACTTCATTTCTTGAGATTTTAATATTCAATCATGTGGCTTAAATAACAACTAACCATACGAAATAATAGTCTTAAATATACACAAGCAACATCATAAAAATGTTGATTAATTATCCAGTGATTGATAAAACTTAAGATTTTGGAATAACACTGGTGTTGTATTTTATTTATTCTCTTCGTCCAGGTCAATGAGGACCCTGATCATAGAAGTGGCGTGTGAAAATAATGTCAGGGGTTGCCAAGAAGAAGTCCAGAGACAGTTCCGACAGTGGATGGATAATCCCACAAACAACCCGTGAGTACATGTTCTTCATTTCATCACACACACACACACACACACACACACACACACATACTCTCTCTCTCTCTCTCTCTCTCTATCTATCTATCTATCTATCTCTTATAAACATTCAACTTCAAAACGCATAAAAAATATTTATGCTGTCGTCGAAAGCTTCAGTGAAAATAAATTTTACGTCAATTGCATAAAAGATATACAAACATTTAAATTGATATTTCATTACATCGAGCGATAACAACATCGCGTGCAAAGAAGAAAGCTTTGGTCAAGTTATAGAAGATTAAAAGTAAGTCAGAAAACTGAAAAGTTAGAATAACGAAAAATCGAAAATCTAAAATAACGGATTAAAAACTATAAATAGCAAAAAAATAGGAAAATGTACTAGAAACGAAATTTACAAAGAAAATTAATTCCACAAAGTATTCAAAAGTCAAATAAAAGAAATTGCAGATAAAATGGGTTGAACCTCACTTAGGTACCTCCACGAGATCGCTAAAAAAAGAGCATAGCATGATGAAAAAGACGCCAAACTTGACGAAAACAAAATTTTATCGTCTAAATGTTTGTTATTATTAAGAGGAAAGGTCAAAGTATTTTTTGGGGTATTTTTTCCATTTTTTAATCGCTCCTAGCACGTCCGAAATTTTCGTTAAAAATCTAGTTTTTTTTGAGTCAGCAAAATTGACCATTTTTTCCATTTAAAAAAAAATGGAAATCTGACTTTGAAATTTTTTAAATATCAATTATCATTTTTTCAAAACTTATTTTAAGAAAATCAGAAATTATAATGTTTATTTAAAATATTTTGAACCAAACTTAACTTAGCTTTTTGTGCCAAAAAGATGTAATTTGAAAATAAAACAAAGCAGGCCATAAACTTTCGCGTCTCTTGACATGTGATGAATGATATATTTACGAATTCCATGAGGCTAATTTGTTCTACGGAAGGAGAAAAGTGAAATAATTTACATTTACGTGAACAAATTATTTACCCCGTTATTTTTAACGAAAACTTTCAGCGGTCTAATTTTTTTTTTTTTTGTACTTAGCTTTCACCTTTATGTTTATGATGCTTTATGGGAAATATATTGTAAAGAAATTAAAATAAAACTGTTAAGAGTGACATTAAATTTCATATTTCTTAAGAAAGGTATCTAATTAATTTATAGGTACCTTTCTTATGAAATTTTATCAGAATTGTACATAAAATACTATAATTTTATGTACATTTATTACATTCTATTGTTATTTGTATTTGCATTCATTTTATTAATTTTGATATTTCATTTATGGAAAAATGTCGTAACTGAGATTAATATAAAAATAAGATCATATAAATTTCATAAGATGATACTGATACTTGTAGGTACCCCTTCTCAATTGAAATTGAAAAATCAAATTAACTTCTCCACACGTGTTTCGCAAAAGTTAAGGCCTTAACAGCGGAGAACAATGCTTAGCTCAAATAACGCAACTTAATTATATTCTGGTTGGTCTTTTATAATTACAGCTCGATTATAAGCACAAAATTACATTTCTTAATTACTGGGGATCTTCTGATTAGTCAAAATGATACAATTTATAACGCTCTAAAAAAAGATCTATCTCATAAGGACACTTATGAAAGCCGATGCAGCTTTTAACTAATTTTATAATATTTTAACAACTTAAATGTAAAATCTATTATAATTAATGAAATAACAAATAACTGTATTAAAAATTCATTTTTTCATCGAAAAAAATTTTTTTGCTTTCAGAAAATATTGTCCATATTCATAAAAACAACTAAAAGCAAATAAAAGCATTTGAAATTAAATAATATCTTTTTTTTTATTGAGTTTTGTATGTTACAATTCAGAGCTGATTTTCAGGTACTGCGTATCCAATAAAAAAAAAACAAAAAAACATGATTTGCATTCCTCAAAGCCCTGTGCTTTTAATTATTGTAATCACTAAAACCGACGCGATCGAATTTCTAGCGTTTTCATAAAATTAGTTATGGGGGGGTAATAAATATTTTAAAAAATATTTCTACCATGACTTTCATAAAAAAAACATATTTATAATAATTTCGATCATCTGTGAATAGTTCCTGAAAGTTTCATTAACATCCGATAATTATTTCTATTTTTGCACGATTTTTCAAATTAATGTGTGTCATACCAAAAAAAACGTGCTAAAATTGTCTATGTTATTTACTAGTTCCGCTGATACAAATAGAAAAAGGTTTTTTAATCAAAATTTAGAATGTTCTAAAAAGAAGGAAAATTTTTAAAAATAATTAAAAAAAACTTTGGTCTTTCCTCTTAATAATAACATAAGCATTTAGACAATAAAATTTAGTTTTCGGCAAGTTTGGCGTCTTTTTCATCAAGCTATGCTCTTTTTTTAGCGATTTCGTGGAGGTACCTAACCTCACTGCACGGATGACATCCGAAAAAAAAAAGAAACATATTTAAAATAAATGCATACAAACTAATTACTTCAAGATAAAGGTTGATTAAAAATCAAATATCGCTTATTTGAAGTATGATATAAGTAATGCTGCAAGCTGGCCTAACGCTAATATAAAATCAGATATGATAGAGTGAGAACAGCGTTTTGCTGGTAATTGTGCAAAGGAGTTTGGTTTGATCTTGCAAGCAAGTGGTATAAGTAAGAGCTGGCCAATAAAATAAAAAAAATATAACGTAATGTAAAAAAAAGTGATTGTTCGGCACAATTAAAAATGAACTGAAAAGTAAACAAAAAAATGACGTGAACTAAAAAAAAAATACGAAATAGGAAAATGAAATTTTCATCCGTAACCTTTGGGACCAATGGGAACAATCCTGAAAACTGACAAGAAAATTGAAGAAATAAAAAAAAAATAACAGAAATATTCAGATGCCAATACTTTTAAAGCAGATACTGAGGAAGGTGCTGGCGATTTGAACAGATATACCTCGTTCCTAGAAATAATCACCAGATACTTCTGGCGTAAAATATTCTAAAAATAAAAGATAACAATGAAAACAAATGACAAAACTGAAAATACTTAAATATGCAAATCATTAAACATTCTGTAGGTTTGTATTATTTCATGTAGTTTTCCATATATATATATATATATATATATATATATATATATATATATACTAAAAGTTGTACTGAAGTGTATGTTCATTTGAATGGACAGGTGGGGGTTAGCTGAAAGATTTCTCCTCCTAATCGATCCCATTATTATGTTTCTCCACAGAATCGACCCGAATCTAAAGACCATTGTTTACTGCAATGCAATTCGCCTCGGCGGTGCTGAAGAATGGGACTTTGCCTACGAGATGTACAAAAAGACAAATGTGGCCAGTGAAAGGATGCTCTTGTTAAGATCACTGACCTGCTCACGGGAACCATGGATACTCAGTAGGTAAGATATTTGACCCAGCATCTTTCGACTATTTGTCAGTGTTCAGCACGTTGTATTTTCAAATTATGTTAGCTCGATATTGATTACATGTAAATAACACTGTGATGATCTGGCTCAGATGTTATTCCTAAAATATGATAATCAAACATTTTTTTTGTATAATTAAACTGAATTAGTAACATCCATTTTGAAATATCTTAAATTTTTTTCTTTCAAACCATTTAAAACTTGTCATGCAATGAAATAAATATGAATATTTAGTTCGTTTTCCGATGTTTTACAGAAAAACGTCCCATCTGACAGCAGTTATCTTAACGATTGTTGTTTATTTTTCATTAGACTTTTGGCAAGGACACTGGATTTGAAAGAGATTCGTAAGCAAGACGTTGTAACCACCATTATTCTTGTATCAAACAAACCCATCGGTCGTTTGCTAGCTTGGGAATTCCTTCAGACGAATTGGGAAGTCATCAAAGGAAAGTAAGATGCTTAATTTGCTTTCATTTCAACTTAAATGTGTTCTCATTTTGTATAAGATTACAGTTCAGCTTTTCAGTATTTATAAGCGCATAACTCAATGGCCAAATATCAATGAGCCTTTAAATGTCAGTTTAAGAAACTCCTTCTCATTAATTGTACTAGATGTCAGAAACAAATATTCTCATTTTAAAATAAAAATATAAAAAAGACATTTCTCAGTAGAAATCTAGTCAAGAACAAATCTCATTTTCCAAATATACTGAGACGCATGTTTCGAACAATCATATTTCTTAGTGATTTTGTATAGCCAGTAGAAATGTGTCTCGTTCACGTTTATATTAACGCTAACCAAAGCATTTTTGTTAAGACATTACGACTAAAGACTGATAAACATATAGTAAGAACTGGCACAAAAATACGAACACAATCTGCAATAAAAAAAAAAACAAACTACTACTAGGAGTTAATATCAACAAACAGACGACAACGGTACAAATAATAAAAACATTAAGGTCAGATAACGAACATAAATAAACTGAATACTTCAGACTGTGTCAGATTTTATTATTGAGTCAATATTTTCACCATAAAATTTGTATTAACTAACCGATTATAATCAGGTTTTAGTATACATACATACATACATACATATATATATATATATATATATATATATATATATATATATATATATATATATATATATATATATATATATATATATATATATATATATATATTATGAAATAGACAATTAGTCCGACAATTATTTAAGACATTTTTTATGTTTATATGTTCTTAAATATTTGTATCTATAAAAAGAACATATAAAAACTGTCTTAAATATATATATATGTGTGTGTGTGTGTGTGTCTATGTTTGTGTTTCTATGTGTGGGTGAGCCTGTGTGTCGTGTAAATTTCAGATGATGTTTGTTTTATTAGAAATATCCTATGTCTCAATCAAATCGAATGTACTGAAAGCCGTCTAAGAATATGAAAAACTGAAGCTCACTATTATCGATACGTTCTTATCTATCATAATCACTGGAACAGGTTTTAAAGATTGGAGCAGTGAACGAGTGTCTGCAGAAATACGAGCAGACATATTTGTTTATATATGTAACATGTTCGGTTTATTATAATTTTATGCGAATGAACCTAGATAAAGACTTTTTTTTATATATTAATGGCTGAATAAAAATAATCTTTAAGGGTTCATGTTTCATGACCAAATTTCCACTTGACTTTTTCAAGTTCTGATCAACGATTTATAAAACTGAAAATATGGAGAAATAAAAAATCTCATTTCAACAACTTTTCACAGTCTAATATATTACAGTTTTTATTTGTCTTTATTGAATATTGAATTGTTATATTTTGCTTGTTTTTCTTTTTTCATCAGTTTTATGAACTGTTGTCATAAAACCATTATGTTTCCCTTCTTGCAGTTTAGGTGTTGGCATGAATTCAATATCTAATATTTTATGCGCTCTTGCTGAGACATTTAACACAGAATACGAACTTGAACAGGTAAGATGTTTCCATTGTTTTCTTTTCAAATTTAAGCATTTCAATGACCAGAATTCACAATTGCTCAGTTTTAAGCATTCACATTATATAATATGCATTGATTCTTGTTTTTATTTGCAGCTAGAGAACTTTATCAGGATCACAGGTCTTCAACAAGAATCTGCAAATCGTCAGATTAGACAGGCTCTGGAATTTACGAGGACCAGTATCAGATGGATGAACAAAAATTATGAAAAAGTTAAAAATTGGCTACGAAATCGAATGTCAAGGTAAATAAAAGCTTTTGAAACTCGCTTAGAGTAAAAGTAATCTTCTATGATTACTGAGTGAGAGAGCAGCGCACCAAGAAAGTGAGGCTAGGATACAAATATAAGGAGACCAATATAAATATTATATAGTTTGTTAAGAGTATATGAGGCTCATGCATCACAGGCAAATATGCGCGATATGCCGACCTCTTTTGATAAAAGCAGTGCATAATCTTGCATGTGGGACCTTCTTAGAAATACACTCAAGTTGGCTGAGTTCGCTCAGACAATTTTCGATTGAAAATGTTTGCAAATACCTAGGTGTGACTCTAGATGTCATCTTGGCTATCTCGTCCTTCTAACTTAAAATAGCTACTCCCGCCCATGAATAGAGATGCACAATACGCCAGTTATTAGAAAACCTGCAAAACTGGTTAAGATCAGGCAAACTGATAAGCAAATCTGAGGTACTGAACGGGGTAACACATATTATTATTATTATTTTATTTCCTTTGATTTCTGGTGTGCACACATTTCTTTCCGGGTCCCGCCCAGAAACCTAAGGTCAGAAATGGCATCATGACATTTTCCACTGAGCAATTAAAAAAATATTTTACATAGATAAAGCCCTTCGTAAGATGTAGGCTGTACTTGTGAGGACAATTCTTTTTATTTTTTCAAGGCATGGGCTGCCAGGAATCCCTTCAATGAGTCTATATTGGAATCTTTTCAAATCAATCCGAGGATTCCAACTACAACAGGGATTGTTGATGTTCTCATATGCCATATTATTATTATTATTATTATTATTATTATTATATTAAACTTAATAAGAACAAACGTTTCTTACAGTTGGATCATTTGATGCAATATGCTTGTCATTATGTCAAGAAAACAGGATTTAGATCGTTGTGACATTTTCATGTAAAGCAAATCCAAATAAAAGTGCTTATGAATCTCATTTCTCGCACTTACGTCATTTGAACAAGAGTTATGACAATGTGGTTATCAAGAAAATGGTTTCCTTTAATGTTTAACTAAATATACGTGATCTCTGAAGTGTTTAACTGCTTGAAGAAGACCAGAACATGTATAAGACGTGACGAAGTGAGTTTCTCTAAACTTCAAAGAGGAAATCAGAAAGACGTAAAAGCAATATATTGTCTCAAGATCTTATTGTTAGAAAATTGAGTTGCTTTCTTCTAGTCGTTTTTATCATTAACTGCCATATATCTCTCATTTGAATTACCATTCTTTTCATTTCTTTCATCTTAGTCTCTTAAAGAACTGGAAATGTTGTTCTGAAAAACTTAGTAGAATAAACGAGACAAAAATCTACAAAAAGACATCATAAATCCGGAAGTCCTTTCGGTTGCTATACCTTCTCTTGCAACCGCCGTGTAAGAATATCGTTGCCAGCTATCGACAGACCTGAAACAGATATGAAATCCCGTTCTAAATCGTCATTTGAGAAGTCCTGACGATGGTGGGGAAAATAAAAAAATTCAAATGGAACAGAATTATGATAAAGAAATAAAATTGAGTAAATATTTCGAATAATCTATTTAATTAGAGGATTTACATTTTTCAAAGACCATTTCACAGCTGAATTTATTTTATTCTTGCTTCATTTCCTAATGTTTATTCTATAATATAAAACCCAATATGACTTTATACATTTATCGGTTACAAAGTCTTATCTCTTCTACTGAGATATGTTATAGTAAAAGGAGATATTACTTAACACAAGTAATTGTTTATGGTCCATGTTACCATAACAACGAAATATTTTATTTATAAATAGTGACAGCAGGTTACTAATGCATTACTTTTCTATTTGCTTTTGATCCACAGAGAGCTCGATGTATTTATTATAACAGAGCAGATGCATTTTTTACAGCAAAAAAAATAAAATAAAATTACCTCAACATGGGGTTAGTCTATTTCAAGCCGGTCTGTACGCGGCTATCATCAGCCCTAAGTGTCTGTCTCGAGGCATTGTTTTAAATTTATTTTCAATGTCACTCATCCTCTGGTAAAACAATGCTCCGAGACAGACACTTAGAGGCTGTTGATAGCCACGTACAGACCGGCTTGAAATAGACTATCCCCATGTTGAGGTAATTTTTGTTTTTTTTACTGTAATATAGATAGATAGATAGATAGATAGATAGATAGATAGATAGATATAAATGACAAAGTGGAAAATATTCTATGTGACGCGTTAGGTCAACTAGAAGGACTTCATCGAACTAAAATTTTATGACTGAAATTTTAAATTTTTAGCCTTGTTTCCTGTTTATGATTGGGTTTCCGGTTCCTTCAAAAGTTTTTTTTAAATTCATTTTCATTCTCAGTAGCCCCTTGCATATCAGTGACATTATCGCCTTGTTTGTGGTGAATTGAAAAAATACTAAAACTTGAAGGGAGAATTTATTGTATCGCCTGTAATGATTACCACAAGGAATACATAGGAGAAACCTCGATGAAATTAAATAAACAAATTATACTAACACAAAAGTTTTTTTTTTTTTTTACAAAACAACACGGTCAATGTATCAGTCACTCACCGTAATGAATCTGATCATAATTCCGATTTAAAAAACGCTGTTTTTTTTTTAAAGAGAAAGCAATTTATCAAGGCGAAAGTGTATAGAAAGTGCTTTGACCGCCACATCATCCACAGCACATATATAATTCCATCAACAAAAACATTTCTTTCGACCGATGCTGTCTTTATAGAGGACGAAACGCGTTGCATTTTTCACTTTGTCATTCATTTACCTAACATTGTTCTGATATATAGAAATATATATATCACGTTTTCATATATATATATATATATATATATGTGTGTGTGTGTGTGTATATATATATATATATATATATATATATATATAAGTAACTATATTAGAATCATAAAAATTACGTGTTCTTTTATTTTGTAGTGTTGAAAGACGAGTAACTGACGTCCGTTTGCCGAGATCCTTGGTACCCAAACTATATCACCTTGAATTGACACCGGATATCTACTCAGAAGAACCTGCCAACTTCACATTTCAAGGCCATGTCAAGATAGATATGCTATGTCTTAATGGCACCAATAATATCACTCTTCACGTACATAAGCTGGACATCCTCAATCCTATCAAAGTAAGTTCTTCTCTTTCTTTCCTTTGTGGTAGGGTTTTTTTTTTATTTTGTTTTTTTTTTCCCAGTTCAATTCCAGGCGAGATTTTCTATACAAAATTCCCCGACTAGTTATTGGTGTTATATAATCATCACAAATAACTTCTGATGACAATGGAATTCACGTCCCATTAGGTGATAACTTACAATCCTGAAGAAGTACTTCAGATGAAATAATAATCGTAAAAGTGCTTTTATTTTTAAAAATATCATTTTTCTCTCTCTTTGCAGGTAGCCGATATAACATCTGGAAAAGAAATCACCGTGAACTCCTTTCAAGAAAATAGAGAAAAGCAATTTCTTATTGTCAATCTGCAAAATTCTTTGGAGGCGGGTCATCAATACTACATTCATATACACTTCAAGGGGCCACTACTTCCAGACCTTAAAGGACTATATCTCAGTTCATATGAGCGCAATAATGAAACAGTGTATGTATTATATTTATGCTATTATCTATTATTATCCTGATTTTGTCATGGCGAATACTGTACATTATAAAAAATAGAAGTCTCAAATAAAGATACAAATTGTTGCAGACAAATGGTGTATAAGGCTTTTGGGTTGTTATAATGCAACTGTGAAAAGTTTATAAGAGAAAATACTATAAAAGACTTTAAACAAATTTAAAAGCAAACTAAATTCTAGAAATTCAATTAAGAGTACAAATGTATGGATAGTAATTTATATGAAAGTCTTTTGCTTTCTTTTATACTACACTGTGCAAATTAACTGGAAAGAAAAGCAGTAGAATATATAAATTATGGTTCAAAGAATACATAAAAAACAATAAATTTGACGAAAAATATATTGGTTTTTCAAATAGATTTGGTGAAACTTACTTCATCAATAGTCGTCGACATCCATTATATCGCGAGATAATGGTAGCACACTTTTTGGTCAAATATTGTCCTTTTAGGAGAAGCGTTTAGAGTGACTTAACAAACCAATCCTTGCATGACACTCTCTTCCGCAGGTGTGACAGATGAAACTGGAATATGCAACGGAGATTTGAAATATATATATATATATATATATATATATATATATATATGCTTCCTTCGTTCCCTCCTTATCTCCAACACTTGGTTTCATTTTTTCCCGGACTTCGTATCTCCTCTAAAAATATCATGGCGCCAGTCACTGCGATCGTCAGCTAAATGTTTCCATCTACCAAACTCGATGCATGTGCGTTTTAGGGCCCTCTTGCAAACTTCCTTCTAACGGACAGTGTCTCATGATCAGCTCACCATAAATGGTGTCTTTTGGTATACGGCCGTCATTCATACGATGTACGTAACCCAACCATCGAAGACGACGTTGACAAAGGAAAAAAATGCATGCTCCAGGAGTCTGTTTGCTCCAGCACAACAGTGTTTGTAACTTTGTCTCTCCATGTAATGCCAAGGATACGTCGTAAGCAGCGGAAATGAAAGCTTTAAAGGTTTTTTTTCTGTCTAATGTATGTTGTCCAGGTTTCGCTGCCGTAAAGTAGAGTACTAAGCACACATGGTTGGACTGCGTTTAGTTCCGCTGCGCATGCTCAGCTGACTGTTGTTCCCTTCCCTCTTGCTTAATTTGGTCATCACTGCTGTGGCTTTGATGATGCGTTTATCAATTTCCATGTCAAACGATAGGTTTTTTGATGATAGTAGAGATCAGATATGCGAAGTGAGCTGTGACTGCAAGCATCACGTCATCGATGCTGATTGATGGAGAAGCAGAAACATCTTGACCTATGATATTTGTTTTTTGTATGTTAATATCCCAAATTCCATACAGGCATGGTTGAATTGACTAATCAGCTTTTGAAGATCGTGTTCTATGTGAGCTGCGTCATAAGCATTTTTCTGATTAGTACTGATGTTTACCCTCAGGCGTGACAAGTTCAATAATTTGTCATTGCTTCTTTGTATGTAAATGTACACCTTCTTCGGATTGTCTAAAAGCAAATCTTAATAACACGGAAAATTACACTATACAAAGTTGGTGCTAAAATGCATCCTTGTTTTACCCCATTGACTAGTGAAGGGCATTGAAGTTTCACCATCATAGCTGACTACACCCTGCATTTTCTCGTGACTGTCGGGTGATGATGTCCAGAAACTGTCGGGTGCAGCCAAGTTACATTAGTAACTGAAACAGACCTTTCCTGCTAACAATATCGAACGCCTTTGAGAAATCGATGAAGGTGATGTATACTGGCATCAGTTGTTCACGACATTTCTTCTTGGGGATGAAGATCATGTCAACTGTGGATCTTTTAGCCTTGAATCCATATTAGGATTCTAGATATATGCGATCAATAAGTTGCGTTAAAATCACTCGGGTAAAGAGTTTTCCAACAATGCTTAATAGAGAGATACCTCAGTACTTATTGCTGTCCTTTGGGTCGCCCTTGTTTTTATACAAAGTATTTATCTTGACATTACACATATGTTAAGGAACATTGTCCTTTCGCCAGCAGAGACTCAGGAGACAATGGTTTGAGTAAGGCTGGCTTACCGCATTTGATGATCTCTGGCGTTATGCCGTCTTCGTCCAGTGCTTTATCACATGCTAGAGCATCAATGGCTTTGCTAAGCTGTTACTTTATAAGTTCAGGGTCTTCCAGGACTGGCAGACCCTCAATAACATCAAGCACTTCTTTAGTGATGGAATTTTCTCTTGAGTAAAGGTCTAGGTATTTCCGTAGACATCGCCCCATTTGTTTGTCCTTTTATGTAATTGATTTCCCTATCTTTGACCTCAAGGGTTTAGCCTTCTTTGTTAGTTTGCAAGTTGCTTGTTTAACACCCTCGTACATGATCAGGATGTTTCCGCTGACCGAAGCTTGTTGGATGCTGACAGATGGAGCTAATAGTTATTTGCACAGCGACGTGCAGTTTGCTGGGCCTTGCTATGAGCAGCTTTTAGATTTTGATCACTAGAGTCACGCTTGAATCTAATCAGTGCACTGCGCTTAGCGTTAATTGTCGGCTCTAATGTGGAGATGTTAACCTTAAACCCGTCTTTGTTCTTTCGCACCTTCTTTCCATAAGTCGAGATTGCAGCATTGTTTTACAAGCACTGTGATGATAACTTTATCAATAACCATCTTAATTATGAACCTAGGATTAAAATCCAGTTTGCTATAATTAACATATAGATGAGAAATGATTTAGAAAAACAAAAAACTGAGTTCATTTTTTATCATAGGTTCATATTTCAAATTGTTGTTGTATGTTATTTCAAATTGTTATTGCATGCTGAAACATCTCATTACTGCAGGTATCTGGCAACTAGTCAATTTCAACCAACGTTTGCAAGGAAAGCATTCCCATGCTTCGATGAACCAGCTTTGAAAGCCAGGTTTAACGTTGTCCTTCTGCGCATGAGCAATATGACATCACTTTCAAATCAGCCAATCATACGCACAGAAAAAAGGTAATGCTTCTGTTATATAATTTTTACGGTGATAACACATATTGCAACAAGTTTGACATTTGTTTGTTCATAATTCGTATTTGACTGATCGTTCATATACGAATTGTGTTCAATATGATTAAATAACAAATAGGAAAAATTTTATAAGTTTATATATTTAATTTAGCTTCATCAGAATTTTTGGGAGAATGAACTTATTTTATTATATTTCAAATTTTAAATTCCTTGTTGCTTTGTTTTCATTGGTTTTGTCTATCTCATGGTGTTTGTGTTTATGTGAAGCTTATGCTTGACGCACGTAAATGTGTATGAAAATTTGGGTTTATTAGTGCAATTGTTCTTATTAGTGTAGTAATCACGTACTAAACACACCGATGATTTAATTCAAAGACTAAAATCATAAATATTGAAAATAAGATTATGACGAGTCTAGTGGTTAAGTCACTATTTACTATGATATACTATTGGGGTACCTCGACGTGGTGTAATGGTTAGCAAGCTTGTCTCGCTATATGAGTTAAGACTGAAAAGTGAGTTCGATCCTCACTGGGTGCCCCATAATTTCAGCCTTGTTCCACATTTAAGCTACGCTTGGAAAATCACTACTATTATATAATATTGTGGTATGTTAGGTACTTTTGAAACGTTAATAAAATATTTCATATTTTAGACTTTTTTTAAGCATTTCACCTCAAGCAAAGCGAGAGTGGCACTAGTCCGCATGGAGCTACAGAGAGTGAAAGTGAAGGGAAAAGACTGGGTATGGGGGGGGTGAGGAAAGGTTAAAAAGAAGAACAGAGATCAAAGCACCAGAAGATGTCGATTGACATTACATTTAAAGTTTTGAAAATTATAGTTATCTGGGAAGCAAGTAAGAGGAAGGGAGTTCTATTGTCAGGAAGTGCAAGAGAAAAAACTGTTGGAGTAGAAAAGGTGGTTACGTTTAACCATTCCGACAGTGAAAGGGTGGGACTGAGATGCCAACCTAGTAGCACGCTTAAATTCATGCAGTTGGGGCACCAGTGAAAATATCTCGTCATGACAGATGCCATGAAAATATTTATAGAAAAGACAAAGGGAAGCTACGTTACGTCGGTGAGAAAGTGACTGAAGTCGAGACTTCGATATTGTTGTGATGTCACAAGGTGATTTTTTCCTGTCATTGTCTCCTATGTTGTTTATGTATGAAGGAAAATTATGGGAATTAAATATTTTGCCCGCCTTCTTTTTTTTTTTTACTGAAGTCATGTCTGTAACACACAATACGAGATGAGAAGTTAAGTTGGCAGAAAACACATTCACATTTATTGTTTCAATCAATTTTGCCGCTGTTAAAAATTCTTAACCCCCGCCTTTACGTATGTGCGTGTGTGTGTGTGTGTGTGTGTGTGTGTGTGTGTGTGTGTGTGTGTGTGTGAGAGAGAGAGAGAGAGAGAGAGAAAGAAAGAGTAGTAGTATTTCGGCAATAAAGTAAATATTGAAACATTATTTAGTTTTGCAATTTCTTAGAATTTGAGATTTGGTCATAATTTTTCTTTCAGACCCAATGGCTACCTGGCTGACTATTTTGGCATAACACCTGAAATGTCTACTTATCTACTGGCGTTTGCTGTGTGTGACTTTGTTAATAAGAGTGTGCAAAACGGAAATTTTACTGTACGTATTACTTCTTCCCGTTGCTATTGTCTATCTCTCTTTCTCAATCAATCCGTGTATCTATCTATCTATCTATCTATCTATATATATATATATATATATATATATATATATATATATATAGGGTGTGAGGAATAAAATGTCGTCTAAATTACACGAAAATAAAAATAACACTGACATTTCATTTTAACAGATATATTTACCAAATTTACACAAAAATATCTCGAAATACTAAAGAGTGAATTTATTTAATAAAATCGCCATTGGCTTCAACCACGGCCTCCAGACGACTTTGGAATCTCCTGCAACTCTTTTGGACAGTCTCCTTGTTTAAGTTGGTGAATGCTGCCATAATCCTTGCCTTCAGTTCATCTTTGGTTTTTGCAAGAAGTTTTGTTGGTCCCTCGCTCAACTCCCTCCCCCCCACACACACATAATAATCGGGGGGTGCAGTCTGGGGAGTTAGGTGGCCAGATGTAAGAGGTGATGTAGTCGCATAAATGACTGAGTCATTCTACTTGTATGGTATGGTGCAGAGTCCTGTTGCCAGGCATAGCAGCAACTCTCTTCCCCCAGGGCAGCACAACCACCTCAAGGCACTTGATGTAGGTCTCCATGTTGAGTCTGAGGCCATGTGGGAAGATGAATGGGGGCATAACATCGCCATCACTAGTGATCACTCCAAACAACTAGGTAATCACGATTAGACTCATCGAACTCTTTCCGAATACTCTGAACTGTCCTCAGATTGATACTCAAACACCTGAAATGTTTGTATTGGTGTTTCCGGTATGAATGCCAAGCAGTACAGCATGCCATTTCCAAATTTCTGGCATAGTGAATTGTGTCATGATGCTTTTTTTTTCTCTCCCAGACGATGCCCAATTCACCCTACTATATGTGCAATCCACAAAGTCAAAAAAACAAAAAAACAAACAAAAAAACAAAAAACCAATGCACATGCGCAAAATTAAAAATATAAAATGACGACAATTTATCCATCGGTATTTACGGGTACCTCCAAAGAAAAGTGATAACACGCTTTTAAATTAATTTTAAAAATGAAAAATGTTTCTAAAATTTTTATTCTAGCTTTAATTTCATGTAAATTTAATATTTCCAATAAACAAAATACTTTGATGTATTTCAAAACGAATTGATTGGAGTTTTTTTCTTTTTGGAAATCGATAGAAATGGCTGATTTTAGCCATGTTTCAAATTGTAATTCTCTTTATTAAAAATCTTTCAAAAATAAAATATACTTTTCTTAAATTTTATGAGGAAGATAAATTGATTTAAAGTTTAATTAATTTAATTTGAAACAAATATTACTTTTAGTTTAAAATATCGCAGAAAAGCATTTTTACACGAAGATGGTGTTTTTACGAGGTATTGACAAATATCTTGATAGACTTATGCTTGTTTTTTGTTTTGTTTTGTTTTTTTCTATACTGGCATATTTGTAAAAATTACTTGAATATAACGGGAGCGCTTTTTTTAATATAATTTTTGAACTGCCCCGTAAATGTTTAAAATTTAGGAAAATATTCTTAGTAATCTTTATTGAATTTAAAGTACTTTGGCTTAAGTTTACTATATTTACTGTATGGAAACAAGACATTACGAGAAAATAAGAGCAGTAAATTTAATAAACTTAAAGCCAAAGTTCGTATTTACAAAAATCGTTTATAACTATCTTATTATTATAATATTTATTCCATTTTGGTGTGGATTTATAATTTTTATTGATTTTTTTCTTTTTATCTATCTATCTCTCTCTCTCTCTCTCTCTCTATATATATATATATATATATATATATATATATTATATATATACAATTCATACTGCTTTAAAATGTGTTATTTAAAATATTTTCCTGACTGCGTTTTACAAATTAACATTTATTACGCCAATAACCGGTTCTCACACTTCATCACTAAATTTCACAAGTATCAACAAAGATTTTGACCCACTCCTCTTTTGCTAAGGACTCCATTTCCATAAGGCTAGAATAATTCCTTCCTCAACATAACTTGTATCTTAAGTTCTCTCTACACACACACACACACACATATATATATATATATATATATATATATATATATATATATATATAACAACAATTTATATACACACACGCACACACACATATATATATATAAATTGTTGCTGCTTAATGGTTTGACTTTTTTCAGTTTAGCGTATGGTCACGTAAAGAAGCCATAGAACAAACCGAATATGCGTTGGAGGCAGGGGTGAAGATTATGCAATCCTTAGAGAATTACTTCGGCATACCATTCCCGCTCCCGAAACAAGGTAAGATAAAGATGCAATTAGTTTCATGTTATTATAATTAATTATTATGTTCTGCAAATAGTTTATTTGTATATTTTTTCTTTACTACCTGTTTTTTTTTTTTGTTCGTAAAATGTTTTGCTGCATATTTTTGAAGAATCGGGTTCAGTTCTTTTTTTGTTTTACACAATTCGTCATCAGCTGAGATGTTTTATTTGTGTCAAATATTCTCAAAATGATTTGTATCTCTTCCTTCTCAACAGTATTTGACTCATTATAGCATCACCGAGCGTTTTACCAGAAGTTGGAATTTTCTTTTTGTTTATTTTGAAATCCTTATAATTGTTAGTCTTAAATCTCAGCCACACGAAGAGAGAGAGAGAGAGAGAGAGAGAGAGAGGATCTCATAGGTTTTGTATTCTACGACTGAGTCATGCTGCACTCACGAAATAGCAATTGATTCAAAATATCAAGGCCTAAGAAGGGTTATGAATCATAAGTAATATTCCATAAGTTACTTGATAATCTTAGAGGATTTGATTCATTGAGATTTATCATCCTTTCGTGAGATGCAAACATTTCGTTTGGATTATACTCATTTCACATTTGGGTCACGTCACACATTTTTTTTTCAAGGACAAATTTTCAACAAAGAGTTTCAACAATGTAAATAATGCAAAGTTTCAACAAAGTTGAGTACTTGGAAATTGAAAACTTGTCATAGTTGCATACTTACTTATTATATTCTATGCTATGGCGACTTTTATCAATAAATTTTTTAAAGATTTATTCATTCTAACATTTCAATGACATTTTTTAATTTATTATTTTCCTAAGTAGAAAGAAGAAAGAAAATGAATTAAGTTTTGGCTTCAAATGAACTTATAACAGGACATATTATTATTATTATTATTATTATTATTATTATTATTATTATTATTATTATTATTGCTGTTGTTGTTGTTATTTTATTTCCTTTGATTTCTGGTGTCTACTCATTTCTTTCCGGGTCCCGACCAGAGACCTAAGGTCAGAAATGACATCATGACATTTTCCACTGAACATTTTTTTTACAATGACCCATATTTCACATAGATAAAGCTCTTCGTAAGGTGCAATTTGTACAATTTTTGTTAAGGAATGGGCTACCAGGAATTTCTTCAACATAGCCACTGATGGGTACGGGGGTTTGTCTGCATCAGTTTGTTTGGTACGGGCAGAATATTAACCGTGAATAGGTTTATCATGCCATCGTTTCTGCTGATGATCGATTACATTTGCCTTTGATTTCTTTTTTAAGTCACTGTATTATGCTTTACTTGCATTTCTTCACCCATTTGAAACTTCATTTTGAACTTGTTAGTTTCCTTTATTACTGAATAAAGTTTCTTACTTTTTTCATGTTTTTCTTTCACACATTATCATTCAGCCTTCTGTAGTTTCCAGGTACTTTTGAAGGTCAATTGTTGTAGTTTTGTAAGACTTGTTCTAGTTGAACTAATCCTCTGCCTCTTTCGGATCTGGGCACATACAGACGATCAACATCAGCCTAGGGATGATGCATGTGGTGGCAAGTGAGAAGTTTTCTCGTTTTGGCGTCCATTCGCTTAATGATGAAACTGAATTGCACCACAAGGACAACCAGGCTATTTATAATTGATATTCTGCTTTTTGAATTCAATTCCGTATTCAATACCAGACGCACACGCCTGTAGTCTTTCTGACATTCTCCTTCATTTAGGTATGCTGTATTCCATCTCCTTCATTTGGGTATGCTGTATTCCATCTCCTTCGCTAATGCCTAGGTACCTGTATATGTTTCTTAAGTTTTGTGACGAAATTTAGATTTATTGAGTCTGTTTCTGTAATTCTCCTTTTTTTTTTTGAATGTTACTTTTGCACATTTATCTAATCCGAAATCAATGCTTATGTCATCACTGAAACATTTTACAGTATAGCGGTGACTCTTCGACTCATTGTCGTCTTTAGCAAAAGATTTGCGATTATCCATGTAGAGTAGGTGATTGAATACTTTCTTGTTTAGCTTGCACAATGTGTTTATTGGACTTTGCCATATGAAATTTGGGGAGCTGGTCTCTGTCTGACATTTGTGTGAGAGTGACTCTGCTGAGTTATTAGATGATGTGGTTTTTCGCTTCGATGATGTCACTCCTGTTGTTTTCTAGGAATTCTACCCTAATGTAGTTTGATTCATCTTCAGTGACATAATCTGGATAACTGCAGTTTATACCACAGGTAGATTCTCCGAATTTATTTCCTGGAAGATAATTATTTCGAATCTCATTTATCTGTCATATTTATTTCCACTGTCATCTCTGTATTGTTTGAATGATGAGTTATTGTATTCTGTCTTATATTTAGTTTTATCTGATCTATTTCTGCATTTCAGAGTCTTTTGTTTCACACAATGTCCCTGCGGACATTGACAAGCATTTTGAGGCTAAGATCGGGTCTTATTCCTGTTCATCACATAATTCTCCATATTTAGTATGTCTGATCCGTGATGTTCAATCGTGGATTATTATTATTATTATTATTATTTCGTAAAGGTTTATTGGTAATATTTAGATATATAAATATAGCATTCACATATTATATTTGTATCAACATTAAGAGAAAAAAATCTTATACCTCTGCAAAAGTAAAATATGAATTGAAATGTCCATTTTTTATCTTGAAATTGTTCTTTTTAAAACAGACAACATTTACTTGTCTTGTTTGATTTTCATGATTTTTAATGATCAAAAAGTAATATATTCTAAGTGATCTTTTTTAGATTAAAATTCATGGGATCGAGTAACAATTCAAATAACTACAAAAACTACATTGAATAACAGAAACTATTTTTTAAGATGAATTTGAATCTTTTTAATTGCTCGATGATTTTTGGTCGTAGTTTTAGTTCCTCAATTTGAAAACTGTTTTCCTTTTTTTTTCTTATTGAAATTTTGTAGTAAATTTATCATTTTCGGGTATTTTTCGATTTATTTCAAAATACATGTGTATTCGAAACGAAGTCCTCGAGCAATTGAAAAGAATAAAAATTATTCGTTTTTTTCTTCTCTTTATTTACTTAAAAGTAAAATCACAAAACTTCAATATCCCATCAAATTCTTTCTGTTTAAATAATGTTAAGTAGTGTTTGATCCATGGTATGTCTTGAGATTGATAGTCGAGTGGTTTCCCGTTGCCTTCTCCACGGTGGTTTATTGAGACACAACCTCTAGTTAGCTGGCGGTTGACTCAGAGAGTTCCTCCGCCATTTGTTAGGTCTTGTTTTTTGTCCTACTGACTTGCTACCGAGCCGCCTCACTCGAAAGAATTTGCAGTGGGGTAGTCGGTTTAGTCGCTGGCATTTCGACTGGAATATTTACCATTAAGGTGAGGGAATAATTTTTTTTTATTTTTTTTTAATTAAGTTTTAACTTAGTTAAAGTTCCATTGCCCCCTATTAAAACAATGCAATTATCGACCTATTATTTACTCGCAGTGGTTACCAAAAAGCCGAGTAAGCCAAATTTCATATGCTTATATGACCTTTTTTTTAATTCACAAATTAACCTAGCTGGTCTGAAATTTAAAATTGAAGTTAAAAAAATAATATGTGAATAAATAATTACAAACAAAAT